TTTTGGCAACTCCCACCACGGCTTCCCAGAATGATAGTAGTGGTAACCCTTCCAGTCGTAGTGCGGAATCGAGAGCAACAATCTCCGATTCAGTAGATGAATGTGAAACAACCGTTTGTTTCTTACATACAGCGTTGACTGGGAAGAATGTATTGGGTCCAACAAGCGCAGCAAAAACACCGGTAGTGGATTTGGATGATGTAATGCAATCAGCGAACGAGGCGTCAGTGAAGAGCATGATGGATAACTTGTCTGACGAATCGCCTATCCATCCGTGTAAGCAATGTGTACGCGTCGTTTTGATGTAGCATATCAACCGATGTAGACGTTTGTCACATGTAGTATTCCATTTGGTAATTTCTCTGGCCAACATACATACCGGATGTAGAAGATCGAAACGACAACAACGTGCTAAGTACAGGATCTTCATTAGTACACTTGCCGCGTCCTGGCCGAGAACGCTCTCGTCTGAATAGTCAGACTCAGTGAAGGAGGTGTCCTCGATGCCAGGGGTCTCTGCGTCGGGTAGATCATGGTATGTGGCGGGTATGGTATTGGTAGAAGTTGTGTCGACCGATTTTGCTGGGCTGGATGATCGTGGCCGTGCATTGAGCACACTGGTAGGTCTGGCGACCGACCCGGAGGAGGATGGCGATTTGGATCGCGAAGCCCTCGGCGAGTCGGATCGTTTCCGACGTGACCCTGTTCCCTGGGCGCGCTTGGAGGCGCATTCCAGGTACCGCTCAATGCACTGATCTGTAAAACCAAGCATGTCATGTCGAATGCCACGAACGTGTTTGGCCGTATTGTAATCTTTCTCATTGTGTGCAGGTAGCATGGGGCGTATTGTGGACATTCTTTTGTCGAAGATGCTCTGCGGTACATCATATGCTTGTTGTCCACAACCCAAATATTGTGAGTATGGAGTAGGCGGATCCAAATCGATACCGCTTTTGCGAATATAATCCCAGCCAGTCTGTAGATTATGAGCTGGGCCGGCCAATTTAAAATCGTCCACATATACTGACAGTATCAGTCCCAGTTTGTTGTGTCTCCATACGCATTCCCATCCTGAAATAGGCTCGAAACCGACGCTTTCCAAGCATGTACGGCATTTTCGTTCCCAAAAGACACCTGCAAGAGGGTGTCCGTATAGTGCCAATCGCAATCGGCACACTGGGTTATTGTATATTGACCATGATGTCGGTTGTCGCCATTTAGGTATAGTAATCCAAGTATCAACTGGATCAATTCGTCCGTCGCCGTATAATAATGCCTGCGTGTAAGCTCCAGGTGCGTCACTTTGCTCTCCCGCATATTGCGGTAATAACGCAGTAGCATCGCAAAGTTTGGAAGCCTCTATATGCGAAGCGCTGGAAGCGGCGTCGGCGAATATGGCGGCCAAACCAGTTTCGTCTTTGCCTGTATTGCCCTGAACCACCACTCTGCCCTTGAATTTACGTAGATCAGGAGGAAGATCCTCATGTTTGACTGAAGATAACTCCAAGATATTGAAGAAATGCACCTTTGTTCCATTGCGGATAGCATGTGACTCAATATCAGCTTTTTCTGCAACAGTCTCCAACATCCATGTTTGTTTCTTTTCCAATCTCTCGTATTCTTTTCGTAGGGCTTCTTGTGCACGTGGTTCTGCGGCAACTTCTTTCTTACTCAGGTTTCTGGTAACTAATGCTGGGCGTGACCATGTCGAATCTGGTATTTATCTCTGTGTGCCGGCATGTAGTTGGTCTCACGTGGCATGGTTGGTATTGCTACCGACTGAGTGAACTTGCGTATGAGCGGGTTCAAAGTCCCAAAGTCGGTTCCTTCATTATCCACAAATACCAAAGCACGTTCTTCTCCATCGTGCTGTTGTGGTAGTTGACGGTAGTATAGTACCGTGGTAATGTCACGTGGCCCACCAGGTAATTTGGCGTACAGTATTTCTTTGTTTGTCACGCCTTTGACATTCTCATCGCGGATGACGTCGCCATTGTCAGTGTCGTATGTAATCCGTCGTTCCACAGTATTCCATGTGGGTCCGCCTGATGTAGTAGTACGGAAATTGTTGACCTGTTTATCCTGTCTTGTCCACACTCTCAATGCTGCACGATCACGAATCTCACGGGCTCGTTTAACGTCGTTGGCGTAATCGATTTCTTTCTTTTGCTGTCCACGGGAAAGTGTTTTCCAATGCTCGGG